CTTATTTGGAAACTTTTAACGCTTATAAAAATACATTTATGAAACATTTTAGTTAAATTGATATTACTATTTAATTTTTACATTTGTCACTACAACTTATCACTTTTAACTATTTACAAAATATTCTTTAGTTTTTCAAGTGGAACTGAAATTTATATTTAAGTTGACGTTGTAATGCGCAGAAACACCTATACAGTTGATGTCTTTAGAAATATATGTTTTTTTAATATAACAATAACGTTGTTCTTAAATTTGATATAATAATTAGTATACTAAATTAAAATAATATATTGATTATTTTGAATTATATGATAATATATACATTTATTATAACCTAATAATCTTAACCGTTTGAATGACTTTTAACCACGAGTTACACATGAATAAAATTAAATATAATATATGGTTTAATGCTATTTATAATTATTGTTATTGTCAACTAATTTTTTAAAATTTGTTTCCTTAATGTTTTAATTTCTATCATTATAATTATTTAAAACATCAAACATGATTTTTTTTTATGTTAAAGGTAACAATGTAATCATTTGTATAGAGTTATTTATAACTATTATTATTGTAAGTTATTTTAAACTACTTATTTGAAAACTTTTAACGATTATAAAAATATCTTTAGGTGAAATTTTAGTTAAATTGATATTACAATTTAATTTTTTCATTTATCAGTATAATTTATCACTTTTAAGTATTTACAAAATATTCTTTAGTTTTTTAAGTGGAACTGAAATTTATATTTAAGTTGACATTGTAATGTTGTATTTAAGTTAACAATTTATATATTTTGTCTAAACTGTTCAAAAGTTGTAGCTTTTAAACTGATAATGGTTTACAGATAACAATATATTAAATCTAATAAATTAAGTATAATATGTTAAAAGTTAAAGACATAACTTTATAAGTAGAAGTAAAGATATTATTTTAAAATTGAAATTTGGATTATATATGATTATACTTTAGGTTTTATATTGATTTAACTTTATTAAGCAACTTATAATCATTATTAGAAAGACTCTACAATTTATCACTTTTAACTATTTACAAAATATTCTTTGGGTTGTTTAAGTTAAGCTAAATTTTATATTGAAGTTCACCCTATAATGTTATATTTAAATTAACAATTCAAGTATTTTATATAAATTGTTCCAAAATTGTATATTTAAAATGATAATGGTTTACATCCAACAATATATTAAAACTACTAAATTAAGTATAATGTGTTAAAAGTTAAAAAACATAACTTTATAAGTAGAAGTAAAAATATTATTTTAAAATTTGAAGTTTAGTTTATATATAATTACACTTTTGGTTTGATATTTATTTAACCTAATTAACCAAATTATAATTATTATTAGAAACAAATTAAAAAGTCATGGAAGTTTCAAATGAATGTGGTGAAAGGAAAAATACATGGGGTTTCAAAAGAATGTGGTGAAAGGAAAAATGTTTCATTTATAAGTGTATATTAGGTGAATACTCGCGCATTGCGAATAAACAACTATATAGTTGAAATCTTTACGGATATATGTTTTTTTAATATAATAAAAACATTGTTGTTAAATTTGATATAATAACTCGTATACTAAATTGATATAATATATTGATTATTTTGAATTAAATGATAAAATATACATCTATTATAATTATATAATTTCAACCGTTTGAATGACTTCTATCTGCGAGTTACTCATGAATAAAATTAAATATAACATATGGCTTAATGTTATTTATAATTTTTTTATTGTTAATTAATTTTTTAAAATTTATTTTCTTGTTGTTTTAATTTCTATCATTATAATTATTTAAAATATCAAAATTATTTTTTGATTTTAAAGGTAACAATATAATCATTTATATAGAGCTATTTTTAACTATTGTTATTGTAATTTATTTTAAGCTACTTATTTCAAAACTTTTAACGATTATACAAATATCTTTTGGAAATATTTTAGTTAAGTTGATATTATAATTTAGTTTTTGCATTTAGCACTACAATTTATCACTTTTAACTATTCACAAAATATTCATTGGGTTCTGTAAGTGGAACTGAAATTTATATTTAAGTTGATATTGTAATGTTATATCTAAATTAACATTTTATATATTTTGTCCAAACTGTTCCAAATTTGTAGCTTTAAAATAATAATGGTTTACGTACAACAACATATTAAACCTAATAAATTAAGTATAATATGTTAAAAATTAAAGACATAACTTTATAAGTAGAAGTAAAGATATTATTGTAATATTGAAATTTAGTTTATTTATGATTAAACTTTAGGTTTGATATTTATTTAGCCTTATTAACCAAATTATAATCATTATTAGGAAGACACTACAATTTATCACTTTTAACTATTTACAAAATACTATTTGGGTTGTTTAAGTTAAACTAAAATTTATATTTAATATGGTCCCGTAATGTTATATTTAAGTTTATAATTTAAATATTTTATACAAATTGTTTCAACAGCTGTAGCTCTAAAATGATAATGGTTTACATTCAACAATATATTAAAACTAATAAATTAAGTATAATATGTAAAAGTTAAAAAAACATAACTTTATAAGGAGAAGTAAACATATTCTTTTAATATTTAAATTTATTTTATATATGATTACACTTTAGGTTTGATATTTATTTAATCTTATTAACCAACTTATAATCATTATTAGAAATAAATTGAAAAGTCATAAGAGTTTCGAATGAATGTGGGGAAAGAAAAAATGCATGAGTTTCAAATGAATGTGGTGAAGAAAAAATGTTTCCTTTATAATATAGTATGATATGATGATAATGATAATGATGGTATAGAATATATAGATATAAATATAGATATAGACATATAGATATATAGATATATAGATCATTTAAATGTAATGTGATTATGCCTAGACTGATACTAACTCATCTAAATGCAATTTGATTACACCTAGACTCATACTAATTGAGGTTTTGTGTAACACATGCACGTGGGGATAAGGAGTTTTAAAATTTATGAATTTAAAAAATGTCACAAATATTTAGTTTTATGTAGTAAATGATCAAAATATAATACCATAATATTTAATGAATTAAATCACTTAAAAGGGATTAATTAGATTTAATTAATTAAATGGATTTAATTGTGATTTTAAATTTAATATAACATATTTAAATAATTTTGAAATGTTCTAAGATAATAAAATTAAGACAAAATTGCAAAAATGGTCCCTGTGGTATGCAAAATTTTGGGGTTTTAGTCCAAACCACGAGTTTTTTGGATCCATGGTCCTTTTGGAGTGGTTCCTATGTGGTTTTGGTCCCTGGACTTAACTCCCGTTAAGTTGGATCTGTTAAGCCCCCTCACGTGCCTCACACGTGAGGGTAATTTCATCATTTCATATATTAGGGACCATTTTTGCATAAACGTTTTTTGGATTAATTCCTTTTAAATACCCCCACTTCCTGTGATCTTCTTCCCCAACGTTCCCCAACGTCTCTTTTCTTCTACCCTTCTTCTTCTTGAGCTCTGCTACAACAAAAATGGTGTTATGTTTTTGTGGAAAAGTTGCTGTGGTGAAAACGTCTTGGACCCCTCTGAATCCAGGAAGGAGATTTTTTGCATGCCCTATGAATGATTCCGTTTGTGGGTATATTGGGTGGCTTGATCCCCCAATGTGTGCTAGGGCTAAAGCCATCATACCTGGTCTGCTAAGAAATTTGAATTCAGTGCAGGAACGGTGCAATGAGTTGGTTTGAAGTATGAACATGCTACAGGATTAATGCAATGGACTGATATACAGGAACAACATATTGGTGGCAAATGTCAAAGCATTGAAGGATGATAATTTGAAGCTGAAAATGTACATGTTTGGAAGTTGGTTTTTCTTTGTGATTTTATTATTTTGTATTTGGTTTGTGTAGGGTAGGGGTATACTGTGAAGGGTGTTTTGGTCATTTTGTTGTAATTTTATGTGATCATGTTTGTAGTGACTTATGATGATAATGATATATGTACAATTTTATGATGCAAGTGTAATAATTTTTTACCAAAATGGTATGAATGTATCAGAATTAACATATGAGTAGAAATGGTATGAATATATTACCAAAATGTATATATTAGAACCAATTGTACATAACCAAAATGCACATTTCATTAAGACTTGTAATATAACAACCAAAGTTTCTAAACATAACAACCAAAGATTCTAAACATTACCAAAAGGGACACATTACCATACCTAAGATAACAACCAAGTTTTTCATAACAACCAACCAAAAGTTTTCAACAAAATATTGTAAACATAACAACCAAGTTTTCATAACCAACCAAAATCATAGAACCCATGCATGCATGACACATTACTTCTTAGACTAATTCCCACCTTGCCCTTTACAGGTCCTAGAGTTGTGTCCCTTGTTCTTGCATTTGCTACAAGTAACACTGATATGCTTCCTTGACAGCTTCCGCACTCCAACATTTGCTGGTTTTTGGGAACCTCCTTCTTGTGTAGCATTCACTCCATCACCTTGAATTGCCTTCTACTTTTTGCTTAACCTTTCACCCCCACTTTGTCTTCTATTTTTCTTAGGCCTTCTCACTTGAGTGCGATGTGGATGAGGGATTAGCTTTGTGGGACATTCATTTTTGGGCCACATAGATATACCCTTAATTGGCTCCACCTTAAAAGAATAAGCCTTTTTCCATGTCTCTAGAAAATACACCTTGTGAACCCATTTGTAAATGTCAAGCTTAGCCTCTGGGTCTTTACTCATCTCATTCAGAGTTGCAATTGCATGTCTGCATGGAATTCCAATTAATTCCCATTTTCTGCAAGTGCATGTTTTGTTCCTAACATCAACCACATGTTGATCCTGCAAAGCTCCTATGACTTGATACATGTCTCCCCCATTCCACCTAGCAATGTATTGTGAAGCAACTGTTTTTCTTGCACCTAGGATGTCTGTTGCTGTGGGTGTTAGTGGACCTTTATCCTTTTTCATTTCCTTCATGACATTGCATATCCTCTTCATTAGATACTCCCTTATGTATTCTAAACATCCAATGACAGGTTTATCCCTTCCTTTCTCTATCTTCCCATTAAACACTTCACACATGTTTAATATCAACACATCAGAAACTGCTCTTCCTGTGTGTACATTACCATTAAAAAAAATTAATACAATTCACATACAAGTAAAACAGTTCACTAAGTGAAAGAAATAAGGACCAAATTGGAATATATAGATTTACCTGAAAAATGACTCCTTGCCCAATGTTTAGGAGGAATTTGTTTCAACCATTCACATGCCTCCTTATCATACTGACTAAACTCCTTCATCAAATGTTCAAACTCGGGAATGGTGGTAGCTGATGCACACCTCTATAAGTGGTCCCTGTACTCTGTTTGCCTCCATCTTCTCCTCGTATTGTCATGAATATGTTTGATACAATATCTATGCTCAGCATTAGGAAACAATTGCTCAACTGCAGTATGTAAACCCTACAAAAATCAATTGTCAATCATTAGAATTAATTTAAAACCACACTTTAAATGACCAAATGTATAAAAACCACTTCCAGCTTTACCTTTTTCCTTTCACTTATGAAAGTAAAATTTGATTTTCTTCCAAGATCCAAGTCATCCCCAAGGTTATCTAAAAACCATTTCCAACTTTCTGTGTTTTCAGACTCAACAATCCCATATGCTAATGGGTAAATTCCATTATCGGAATCAAGGCCAACTGCTGAAAGGACCTGCCCAGGGAATGGTCCTTTCATGAAGGCACCATCAAAACCTAATAAGTCCCTAAGGTATGCCTTGAACCCTTTTTTCAGTGGACCCAAACACACATAAATTCTTCTAAACTGCCTGGTTGGGGAATCAGTGTTAGGTTCAGAACATACATCTATTTTCGCTGTGGTGTCTGGGTTGGTGGCTTGAAATTCGAGAACATAGTCCATCAACAGTTCATACTGCTTTTTGTAGTCCCCAGTTATATGCTTTCTTGCTTTATCCTTTGCCCTGAACACCTTGTCCATAGTAACACCCACTTGGTAGGTCGTTTGAAAGTGATCTTGTATGGCTCTCAAAGGTATATCTGGATTCGCCTCAACTTGATCAAAGATTTTTTTGCTGATTAAAGAAGCAATACAAGCCCTGAGTTTCCTTGTTTGCAAACATGTGTGAGTTTGGTTTAAGGTCCTTATAAACCAGTCGGATTTAGGATTTGATCTAGATGCATGAATGTACCAACATGTTACTTTTTGTGTCTTTAATTCTTTACCCTTTCTTTTTGAAGTGGTAGCTTGACTACCCACTTGGCCTTTATTGGTGACAGGTACAACTCCCCTACACTGTGCCCTAAGCCTTACATTGTCATTTTTTTAAAGAAAAGATTCCTTCTTGATTCTAGTGCATGCAGATCGATTGCCTCCTTTAATTCTTTTTTACTATTAAATTTATCTCCAACTGAAAATGATTGTTTATGTACTGCCCCAAGACTGCACCTTTTTTCTTTTCTCAGATTCTTGATAAGAGCTCTTCTCTCTCTATCTTGGTCAGATCCTTCATCCAAAGATTCAAATTCCTCATTGTTGATCACCTCCATATCTTCAGGTTCATGCCCATAAACAACATTTATACAAGAACCTTCCACATCACTTTCAACATTGAGAGTGAAGTCTCCCATGTCCACATCCACATCTTGTATATTGTTGTCAACATCCATTATGTCATCCATATGATCTTCATCTTCTATTTGTCTCTCATCTTCTTCATACCCTGGATCACTATTTTCAGATTCATCATACTCTTCAAAATTTGGATCACTTTCTTGAGATTCATCATCCTCTTCATACTCTTGATTACCCTCTTCAGATTCTCCATCACCTTCATACTCTGCATTATCATCATCACTCCTAATCAAATTTTCCATAAGGTTATCAAATAACTCATTCAATTGTTCATCAACATTATTAACAGGGGGGTGTTGTAGCATCCTTCATCAACAGTTGATGCCTGTTGAACAATAGTTACAGCCTCCCTAACACCATCCATCTCATCAATAAGAACACAAGTTGCTGCCTCCTGAACATCAGTTGAATCATCCTGATCATCATTCTTTTCCTTTGAAATGTGAACACCCTCATCAATATAATCTAAATTAAGCCTCTTGCTACAAGAACTTTCACATATATTGGAATTCCCAACCCTACCCCCTCTATACTCTGGTGAGAAACTATCATTCTTACTCCCAAAAAGAATCAGAGACATGAACTCACTAATAGGCTCACCATTACCATGGTTCACATTTTTCATTGGAGAATCTGCATGAACTTGACCCTCAACTTCAGCCCCTTGATCATCATTTTCTGGTAATTCCTCAATGACAACTTTACCCTTTGCATTTGGTGACATGAAGTAAGTCAGTAAATTTGTCTTTCCATGCCCTGTGTACACCTCAATCAGCTTGTTATGTGCAATGTATTTAGAAAGGTTGATCACATCCTGATCATTCCCTAAAGCTATAAGACCAAATTGAAAGTCACCATTGGGTATCCTGAAATGATAGTATATCACTGGGGATTCATCGGTCAATTCAATCATCCGTGGGTCTGGGTAACCTAGGTCAAGCATTATGGCATCAAGTTCATGCACAGAAAACTCATCAATGTCCACATAATCAACATAACGCACTTCACCTCCAATGTACTTTATATCAGGTAACTTAGTAAATTTCCCACCGTGATGAAGCTTAATACTAAACCATGTGGGTGCACCAGCTAAAAATCAAAATTTTACATATTAACAAAGTCAAAATTTTGCATTTTTTCTGTTATAAATCAATAAGAAAATGCAAAGTATAAAAGTTAAAGAAACAGAGCAACTTACCATATACAGTTGATACATCAACAACTTCGTGTTTTGGTCTGATGTGCCACATTACGAACACCATTTCGTATTAAACGTATGCCCTTGTATGTGTAGTGTCGATTATCTTGTTTGGAAACGAGGGTTTTTTGTAGGTTCAATGGAGCAACAGCAAGAAGGATAGAGTTGGGGAGTTGACGAATGTTGGGGAAAGTAAATGAGGGGTAAATATCAATTAATCCAAAAAACGTTTATGCAAAAATGGTCCCTAATATATGAAATGACGAAATTACCCTCACGTGTGAGGCACGTGAGGGAGCTGAACAGATGCAACTTAACGGGAGTTAAGTCTAGGGACCAAAACCACATAGGAACCACTCCAAAAGGACCATGGATCCAAAAAAACTCGTGATTTGGATTAAAACCCCAAAATTTTGCATACCACAGGGACCATTTTTGCAATTTTGTCTATAATTAAATAAAATTTATCAAAATTAAAGTAAGGGAATATAAAAGGCCAGGGGGCTAAATTGTAATTCTCAGAAGTATCATATTTTTATAGGAAAATGGGTTTGGGAGTGTAAAATCACAAACCGAGGGCTGCTGCATTTTCTTGACTGTTTCTAGACCCCCACTATGATTCCAAAACAATAGGAGTAGATCTGGATTTATTTCTTCTCGATTTAAGATTTTTTTTTAACAAAAGAAAAATGGACTATTTTACTTCATATTTTAAGGATGTTACAGAAATTTTTATATACTAATTGTTTGCGACATAACCTTGTGGAGTAACTTTGAGATGTTTCTTAATGAGTTTACAATTAAAAAATCTACCAGTTTTTACATTGAGTTCTGGCTTTTTTTTTGTGCATATCGGTGCTGGAACAAATGGAGCTTAGGAAGAAAGTTGATGGCTAGCAAGATTTGGAAGTAAATATATAAGAGGTGCCCAGGTTGCTTATTTTTCCTTATTTCCACTTCTTTTTATTAGCATTTAATTAATATTCTCTCTTTTCCATGATTCAAGCTCAATTTCCAAAACTCACAAAGATTAATGATGAATCTAGAAACATTTGATTCTTTTTTCTTTTATTTGACAATTGAGTTCTAATTCTTGATTGAAGTGACAGGCTAAGATGAATACATTTAGTTAAAGACAAAACTTTAAAAATGGTCCCTGTGGTCTTTGAAAATATCAAGTTCAGTCCCTAAGTTCAAAAAACCTCACAGATGGTCCCTATGGTTTCAAAACTTTTAACAAATGGTCCTTTTCGCTAACGTCGTTAGCTTTTGGCCGTTAAGTGAAGGGCATTTCTGTCTTTTCACTACCACAGGGACCATTTATGAAGTTTTGTCTTTTTAAAAAAAAAACAATAATTGTTTAATATTAACCCTCTCTCTCTCTCTCTCTCTCTCTCTCTCTTACTCTCTCAGATCGTCACTAGGGTTAAGATCACAATAATGGCCGATCAAATCAATTCCGTGTTTCAGTTGGGTCGGAATCTCATGTCAGAACGACAATGTTACTGGAATCAACATTTCAGGGTTTAGGCGAACACGATCTGGAAGAAAAAAGCCTCAATTTGCAGTCGATTCACTTGCAAATTTAACCAATTTGGTGTCCTTCAACACTTCTCGATTCACTCTACCTGGTTCTGTCCCTAATGGATCAAGTCTTCAACTTCAAAAGAAGTAGAATGACTTAATCACTGAAAAAACACAGCAACAACCGAGTTGCTGCCTCCCTCGACTTCACCTTCTTCTTTCTTCTATGTCAATGATAAGCCGACCCAACCACCCCCTGATCACCACCGTTCCTAGTTGAAGAAACCCACCATCGCAACAGGTCCTAGTAAGTTTTGTTCAACAAAGAAGAAAGGTAGTCGAGAACCTCCGGCTTCCCTCCTGTTTCCTTCTGTTTTTGAATCCCAAGCAAATCCCTCTCTATATCCTTCTTCCTCCATCGAGCTTCAGGTAGAGATTTTCCTACGAAATCACAGGGTAAAAACCCCTCTTGTTTTTTTTTTCTTGTTGAACCTCCATGAGCATCATCATCATCATCATCGAACCCACCACCGAACACCATCCTCCTCCTTCTCTTCCCCTTCGGACCCTCTGTGTACGACGATTTAGACACAAAAGCAATCTCTGATAACAATTTTAGATCCAGATCCAGATGTAAGTATAGAGTGGGGGGATTTTAAACCCATATGAAATATTGATCCTGGGTTCGCTTTTTTCTAATTAGATTTGAGCCAATTGCTTTAAACGTGGAGGAAGGTCATACGACGATCCATGACTAGAAATTACATATAGCTGGGTGATGGAGTGGCAGTGGTTTTCCATGGGAATACCAATCAAGGTATAAGCCATCTAAGCACCTCCAAATCTTGGGTTTTTGGTTTCCAAGTTTTGATTTTGGTTACCAGATGAAGTTGATGCTTTTCGTTATCTGGCATAAACGAGAGAGAGAGAGAGAGAGAGAGAGAGAGAGAGAGAGAGAGAGAATTACATATTAAAATAATTATTTTTTAGTTTTTTTTTATTTAAAATAATAGAAAACCTTCATAAATGGTCCCTGGATATTGAAATGATGAAAATGCCCCTTACTTAACGGTAGAAAGTTGACGGAAGGACTAAACATTAAAAGTTTTGAAACCACATGGACCATCTGTGAGGTTTTTTGAACTTAAAGACTAAACTTGATATTTTCGAAAACCACAGGGACCATTTTTGAAGTTTTGTCTTTAGTTAAAATTAGGTTATTGAATTTGAAATTCCCCAAAAGGGACATGTTTGTTTATTTTGTAATTGGTTTTTCTAAAAAAAAAAAAAAAAAAAAAAAAAAAAAAAAAACAGCTTTAGAAAAAGTGAAAGAGCTTGTATGGGAGCCTTAAATTAGTCGATATGGTGCAGATGAAGGTCTTCCCGACTAAAAAGGTCTTCTTAAACACCACATAATTAAATCATCACATATTTTATATTTACATTCATATGAAATCTTTTTTCTAATAATTTCATTTATTTACAGTTGCGTATAGAAAATAAGTTAACAAAATCCTCAGTGATGGTAACCACAGGGGCAAATCAGGTAGTTTGGGGTGATTCTTTTTTGTTAGTTTTATGAATAGATTGTAAATTGTAATTGTTTCTATCTTTGTATCTTATAGATGTAGAAATTTACCTAGTTTATCAATATACATTTTACAAAACCTTATCAAACTTTTATTGTCTTTTTTTAGGTATTAACAGGTATTAATCTGACAGAAGGTGTTCATATGGCAGGTGAGTTCATTTTTTTCTACCACTTTGTTAATTTATATTTCAATCACATTTGCTATAGTGATTTGCAAACAGATGAACAAAGCTTCTTGATATTTAACAGTTGAGGGCAACAAAAGGATTTATAAAATTTGCCATTTTAATGATACAAATTTGGTTATGAGTATTACTTTCCACCACTATTAGGACTAGCAAGTGATACTTTGAAAAAGGGTGACGTTTCAAAATTATAACCTAAAATTTAGAATTTTATTTTACATTTTGAACGCATAACTTATTATTTATTGAATTTCTATTTCTTTTTGTGTTTTTACATTAAAGATTACCAAATAACCCAATTAATTTACTGTTAATAACCCATTTGTAGAAAGGTTTTGTTGAGGGTAAAGGAGATGATGGTCTTCTAGAAGTTTTTGGCTTTAAACCTGGATGGCATGCATCATTTGTTATGGCCGATCTCTAATCTTAGCCTAACACATTGCACGTATACTTGCTTCTCCTTTAAATCGAGTTTCTTTAATGTATTTAGTTTTGCAAAAGGGAAAAAAAGTAAATTTGCAATGTATATCATAGTCCTTTTTACGTTTCTCAGACTTAATAAATTCGGTTGGAGCTTGGAAAGAAGCTTTTATGCAGATACCAATAGTCAGAAGTTTTAAATATTGTTAAAATAAGGTTATCTTACAAATTCAAATTTTTGCAATTTGTTTTTATTTTTTTACTAAAATCCAAACTACATTGCTATTTGTTTCGTTTTCTCATATTTAGGTAGTAAATGCAGTAAATAGCAATGTAGTTCGAATTTACAATTTTTTTTTCTGTTTTTCTTCAAAAAAAATTTTTTTTTTTTACCAAAAACCGAAGTATATTGCCATTAGTTTCATTTTCCATTATTTTGAAGGAAAAAAGGCGGTTTCAATACACGGTCACTTCTTTTTAAAATCTTTTATGTCATAGGAAGAGAGAAATGCCATATTGGTAAAAACTGAAGTTTTAGAGGCATCATTTAAAACTATTCTAGCCTCTATTATTTCAATTAACTTAAATACTCTTACTTTTCTTTCTTTTAGAGTAGGCAAACATTGAAGATTGTATTTTGATTTAAGTCCTTGAAAAAAAAAATAGCGCTTACTTAGATCATTGTTCCCTCCTCTACTTAATTACCACCCACCTATAATTTTAATTATAGGTGCTCTTTATATGTTTATTTCTGAAGTATTGTGGCTTCTTTTTATTTTAATAACAATTGTTGGTTTTTTATGGTTATTTTGAAGGAGTTCAAGAAGAAACAAAGAAAACTGCAAGTTAGGGAAGCCAATTTTAGGAAGAGGGAAAAGGTCTACATATGTGTTTATCAGAACGTAAATATATTTCTAAATTGGTAATCACTCATAACAATATTTTAATACTCACAACGATTACACAGTACACACCACACGCATACTAATATTCTTTCTCTCCGTCAAGCAGCCATCTATGACATTTCAACAGCAAAAAAAGGCGCTAATTTTAGGTTTGATTTGAATAGAGTTTTGTTTTTGTTTGATAATTTCATCGTGATTAACAACATTATTGATGATGTAGATTCGAAGCTAAAAAGCATTCCATGATGGAGATGTTTACCTCAGTGAAGTTAGAAAATTTGAGAAAATTTTGCGCATCAACTCCCGATACCAAGGCATGAAACACTACAAACACTGGGGGATTATAACACCGAACAAATGCATTGATAAATTTCACGTAAGCTTCGTTTTCTGATTGAAATTCTAATCATATACAATGATTGTAACGATGTAGGATGGATTTAGGGTTTGGAAATGGTTATTTTATTGAATTTATTTAGAAAAAAATCAATTAACCCAATTCTAGCTTTAATCGGCTTTTTACCATTAAATTTAAGGGGCAACGAATTCTACTTGCATAAGACGAGTGGGTATGGGCCTCGATGAGAAGCGACGAGACCCATGTGGCACTCCGCGACGCCATCATAACGCGGTGAATACCGGCCCCCTAGCCGTTGCTTCTCGTCGTCCGGAACTCGTTGC